ATGTATGAATTTTGCAGGAACACGTTTAGTCCATTATATCCACTTTAACATCCTGGATAGTGTTCATATTGACAAACCATCTCTAATCCTATCCTCTAGTCTACCATATTCCTAGACTTCACTGGCAGTCTTCACTCCACACGTTGAGAGGTGAAGCCGGCTGCCCTTCTGGGTCAGATGGGGACTTGGAGAACTTTTCTTTCTAGCCAAAGGATTGTAAATACACCAATCAGCACTCTGTGTCTAGCTAAAGGTTTATAAACGTACCAATCAGCACTGTGCAAAAAATGCACCAATCAGCACTCTGTTTCTAGCTAAAGGTTTGTAAATGCACCAATCAGCACTCTGTAAAAACGCACCAATCAGCTCTCTGTGTCTAGCTAAAGGTTTGTAAGCACACCAATCAGTGCTCTGAGTCTAGTTAAACATTTGTAAACACACCAATCGGCATGCTGCAAAAACGCACCAATCAGCGCTCTGTGTCTAGCTAAAGGTTTGTAAATGCACCAATCAGCACCCTGTAAAAATGCACCAATCAGTACTGTGTCTAGCTAAAGGTTTGTAAATGCACCAATCAGCACTCTGTAAAGTGCACCAATCAGTGCTCTCAGTCTAGCTAAAGGTTTGTAAACACACCAATCAGCACTCTGTAAAAACGCACCAATCAGCACTGTGTCTAGCTAAAGGTTTGTAAATACACCAATCGGCACTCTGTAAAAACGCACCAATCAGTGCTCTGTGCCTAGCTAAGGGTTTGTAAATGCACCAATCAGCACTCTGTAAAAATGCACCAATCGGTGCTCTGTGTCTAGCTAAAGGTTTGTAAATGCACCAATCAGCACTCTGTAAAAACGGACCAATCAGCACTCTGTAAAATGGACCAATCAGTACTCTGTAAGATGGACCAATCAGTAGGACATGGGCGGGGCCAAATAAGGGAATAAAAGCTGGCGACCCAAGCCATCTCTGGCAAACTTCCTGCCTCATAAGCAGACATTCCATTGTACATTTTTTCTGAGTTTCTATTGAGTGGCTAGTCTGTGTTCTAGGCAGAGGCTCGGCAAGCCTACTGGTCCGGTTGCAAAGCCTAAGACCGAAGCCTGGTTGGTGGTTTGAGTAGCTCTGAGTCTTCTACGGATTCCAGAAAAGTAGCAGGAAAATTCACAGCGCTCAGGAGGTAATTGCCAGTTATTGCTCTACTGGTTCCAATTTTAGTAGCAAATGAGCAATGTATAATGTATCAAGCTTATTAAAAAATATAAATGAGAAATAAAAGTGCTCACAAGGGGAATGGGAAATTCACAAAGTTTTATAAGATACAGTCATTACCAGAGCTGACATCTGACAGCTGCTAGGCGCTGTGTGGTGCTGATATCTCTGTGATGCCTTATGGGCTGTGTGCTCAAGGCAGCTCAGTGCAAAACCCCGAGGGGCGCTCAACTGATTACTGCCTTTCTTGTTGAGGGGTGCTGACTTCGGAACTGTCAAGTCCCTAGACCTACCAAGGCAATCTAGTTCGAAGCATGCTCAGCCTCCTTTTGAAAGAGAGATAAGGCAAAGGTTTTGTCTTTCAAGCACAAAGAGGAAACGTTCATCCAGATTTTCAAAACCTGCAGGATTGGGATAAGATGCCATCCCTGAGGATTTAACAGATACTACCTTCCTCCATCATCCCCTCCACCCCCAACAACTCTAGTACCTTATTATCTTGAAACCCAATGATAGCAATATCCCCATAAATTATCTCCCCACAGGCAGACTGCCCCCTGACTGTATTCCACCCTGTGTCCTGGTGTGCCAAATTAGTATTCCTCAAGCCCCCTGAGAATAATGTCACTTAACCTCATTCAGCGGCACTTGTCTGATCTGCAATTAACTCACCGACATTTCAGTCTAGAATTCACCATTTTCACCAATGGAGTCCCACACTACCTACCTCATCAGTGTTATCGCCCACTCCTCCCCGGCGGTGACCGCCATTTCTGCTGAACAAATACACCCATGACTTCCTTAGCACAGATTACACCCTTATGCCTCCTGCTGGGTGGGCCTTTTCTGCCTGGAGTTCATCCTTCCTCCATTCCACTCCACGAAGTCTTTTCCAAACCCTTGTTCATATAAACCTACCGTGGTTCAGGCAGTATGGGAATGGAAACAGGTGGAGGAAGAAATGTAACCTGCTCTTGCAGGGGTGTCACATTCAACATTAAACCCGTTTCACTTACGCAGACTCAACTTGGCAACAGGGAGACACAGCACAATTGAAATGGTGCAGGCAATTCAGCCTGGTGTTCAACTAGGAGCCTGTGTCCTAGAAAACAGAAATGGGGCTGAGACTCACCTGTCCTCTCCAAAGTCCCCAGATCCCTGAAGCCCCTTAGAGTGGAAACATCTTGCCTCAAAACCATCCTAGACTTGATTAAAGAGTTTCTCAGCTGGGCGCGGTGGCTCACACCTGTAATCCCAGCACTTTGGGAGGCCGAGGTGGGCGGATCATGAGGTCAGGAGATCGAGACCATCCTGACTGACATGGTGAAAC